AAACCCTGTCTGGAAAAACCAAAAAAAAAAAAAAAAAAAAAATGTATTTTCTCAGTCAGTGTCCCAGTGTCCACCTGTGGACAACAATTCTAGGGGTGAGCAGGCCTTGGCCTCCTAATTCACATTACTTAGCTCAGCACACGAGAGAAACAAACCCAGATTCTACTGAGGCCATTGCACCTGGGGTCCGGGTGTGTGTATGTGCATGCACACGCATGTTCACGCATGTATGTGCGGAGGCCAGAAGGACAACTTTGAGTGCTGTCCTCAAGTTTTTCCCCTTTGGCGACAGGGTCTCAGTGCGTAGCTCCAGCCGGCCTGGAGCCCACTAGCACAGAGATCTGCTTGTCTTCCAGACTAAAGATATGCATCGTGACACCAGGCCCATCACCCTTTTTTTTTAATAAGTTTTTTGTTTTTAAGATTTTTGTTTTGTTTTGTTTTGTTTTGTTTTTCGAGACAGGGTTTCTCTGTGGCTTTGGAGGCTGTCCTGGAACTAGCTCTTGTAGACCAGGCTGGTCTCGAACTCACAGAGATCCACCTGCCTCTGCCTCCCGAGTGCTGGGATTAAAGGCGTGCACCACCACCGCCCAGCAAAATTTATTTATTTATTATGTATACAGTATTCTGCCCACATGTCTGCCTGCATTCCAGAAAAGGGCACCAGATCTCATAACGGATGGTTGTGAGGCACCATGTGGTTGCTGGGAATTGAACTCAGGACCTCTGAAAGAACAGCCAGTGCTTTTAACCTCTGAGCCATCATTCCAGCCCCCATCACCCTTTTTGTTTGTTTGCTGTTGTTTTGGGTTTTGTTTTGTTTTGTTTTGTTTGAGACAGGGTTCTCTGTCTGGCCTCAAATGCACATAGATCCTTCTGGTTCCAAGTGCTGGAATTAAAGGTGTGCACGACCACCGCCAGGCCCCTCTCACTGGCCTGGCTCTCCATGTAGGCTAGGATGGCTGACCACAGAGCCCAGGGTCCACCTGTCTGCATTCCAACTGCTAGGGTACAGATTACAAGGCTGCACTAACACACTCATCTCTTTTCCGTGGATTCTGAGGACCAAACTCAGGCAGCAGGCATTTTAGTGGCTGAGTTATCTCCAGCCCTGCTGGAGCTTAGTGAACCCTCACAGTCCATGTCTGGCATTTGCTGAGTGCCTGCCCTGAGGCCACAATGCCTAACAGCAGAGAGTGCTTCCAATGCCCTTTGGTCTCTTCACCATTCCCTAAAAGAGCAAGAACTTAACTCCCAGGGAGAAAGCCACCTCACCAAAGGGCAGAGAGACTCATGGAACCAGCTCGGACCTCCTCGCATCCAAAGCTGTGAGCCACAGCCCAGGCAGCTGCCTGCTGGGGACTGGAGGAGTCACAGCAAGGCCACTAACGCTCATGAATCTTGGCATACAGACACACACACGGAGTGAACTCAATGCACAATCTGAATGCTAGGAAACAGAGGCAGGAGAAGGCAGAAGGTTGGAATTGGAACCTGAGACAGATGCAGAGCGCTGTTCAGGGAGTAAAGGAGAGAAGCCCTTAGAGGACCAGATGGAGGTGAGGGCAAGGAACACAGAGACAGAGGGTCAGGGAGGAGCCCATCCAAGCAAGAATGCAGAAAAAGCAAAGGGAAAGAAATGAACTAGCAGCCAGGCGTTCGTGATGCACGCCTTTAATCCCAGCACTCGGGAGGCAAGGGCAGGTGGATCTCTGTGAGTTTGAGACCAGCCTGGTCTCCGAGAGCTAGTTCCAGGACAGCCTTCAAAGCCACAGAGAAACCCTGTCTCGAACTGCCCTCCCCCCCCCCCAAAAAAATGAACCAGCTGTACACAGCAGTGCAGGCCTGTTTTCCCAGCCACCAAGCAGGCTGAACAGGAGGATGCCAAGTTCAAGGCCCATCTGAGCAACCTAGTGAGATGAGATCCTGTCTCAAAATAAAAACTAAGGGTTGAGAATGTAGTTCAATGGTAAAGCACTCATCTAATATGCACAAGGCCCAAGACACGAAAAAAAAATGAATGAATGGAAGAAGGAAAGGAAGAAAGAAGGAAGGAAGGAAGGAAGGATGGATGAATAAGAGGGAACAGAA